GGGGGGACCCCGCGGGGGGGGGGGGGGAGAAGCCACGTATCGGCCCCACGTCGCATTCGTCAAATGTAACTCTTGGCCCAGCTCCTGTGGGGCTTTCTGTGGGACGTGGGTTGGAGGCCTTCTCGGGCGATCTGGCCCTTTGAGTTCGCACGCTCAGCCGTTGCTTCCTGGGAACAATTCACTCGACGGCGGCGTTTTGCTTGCTCCTCGCCCCCCGTACAGTTGTCGGGGTCCTACAAGTTCACGGGGTACGGAAGACCCCTCACATCACCGATACACCTGGTCCCTGCAGAAGTCTCCGGACTCTGCGCTCCTCTCCGTCCTCGTCTCTCCCTGCTCCAAATCCTTCTCTCCTTCAGTGGAATTATCCTTCCTCAAAGCCAACCCGATGCGGTAAGACTGAGGAATCAGCGCCGCTGGAGGGACGAGACCGCGCCAAACTGTGCTCAGTTGCACCCTGCCTCGGCCCCCGTTCACTGGGGGTGGCGTTGCAGCTGGACTCCCGTCAGAACGAAAGCATCCTGGGCCGACGAACCGCCCAGGGCTCCCCGCGTCATCCTCAGTTCCGCCGCTAGAGGGCGCCACGTGGCACACTTCCTGTCCACCACTTCCTGTCCCACGTCATCACTTCCTCCCGAGATCTGGTTTCAGCCCCGTTCCGTTCTCTCTACCTGGGCCTCACTGTGACCCCAGCCCCAACTGGCCACAAAGGTACCCGTCCGCCTCCCCTCCCCCCTCCCAATCCCTTAGCCGGGAGACATCATTAAAAGGCAAAGTCCAAACAGGCAAAAAAAAACCCCACCCCCAACCCCGTTGTCCCAAGGTTCTTTTTCACACTCGCCCCGCCCTGGGGCAACACAGGCAGTCCGTCAATATCGGTCCTAGGTACGGAGGTGCAGGGCGGGGCCGAAGGGGGATGACCTCCGCAGACACCCCCCCTAGGGCACGTTGACTTGGTAGGGGCTCCCGGGGACGCTCTCGTCCCCCCACTTGACTATGAGGATGTAGTCGCCTTTCTCCTTGACGGTGTAGGTGACGTTGTAGACGCGGTTGCCCATGTGCTTCACGTAAACCTCCTCGCAGGGAGTCTTGGGACCGTGGACGCCCACCATTAGCATGTTGGTGCCTGCGGAGAGGGGAGAGGAAAGACTTAGGCTGTGAACAGCAAGGGACACCGACAGGCGCTTCTGAGAGGCTTATTCGTGAGACTGGCTGGCTGGCTCCTGAGGTATCCATGCATTTGAGACGCAAAGAGACACCACCCACTGGGATCGTGAATTCATGGGAAGCCAGGGTTTCCCAAACTTTTGATATCTCTGGCAGACCTGTCAGCTAGCTGTCATTGTATGTGGGGGGGTGGGTAAAACTCCTTGGTTCCCCCAGGCATCTGCGCATGCCTTCTGTGTATTCCCTGTAGCTCCCTGGGTCATGCATTCCTTTCTGTAAACGCGAACGCACGCTTATCGGCAAGATTAACAGGTGGGAGACAGGAGTTGCTTAGCTTTGACTATAATGAGCTGGACCGTGTGAAGCATCCTTGTTTACCAAAAAGGGGAACGTTGCTTCTCAGGCTTTTGAGCGCGAAGCTGGAAGTCTACCCGCTCGGCGGGAACCATATCTATTGGTTAAGGTCCAGTTTGAATGCATTACATTACCCCCTGCTCAGCCTGACCCAGGTATTCTAAACAGTGATCTTGTACCTGCTCTAACATGGCTTTAATAAAATACTACTTTCTTTGAAATGTGTATGGAATTCATCGCTGTGGGAAAGGAGACTGGACAAGACCTCAGACTGCACACAGCAGTTGATGGGAAGCGGGGGCCCGCCCACCTGGGAACTGAGCCCTGAACTCCCAGACCTCGTTTGGATTACTGCATTGTGCTCTGCGAGGGGCTACCCTTGAAGACAGCCCGGAAACTACAATGGGTGCAGAATTAGGCAGCCTGACTGCTATCAGAGGCTAGCCACCGGGAACGTATGTTGCCCCATTTTGAAACCGCTACGTTGGTTGTCGGTCTGTTTCCTAGTTCAATTCAAGGTGCTGGTTATGGCCTTTAAGGCCCTTCAGGACCTGGGACCACATATGTGAAGGACCGTCGCCTCCCATAGGTCCTTGTACGGCAGCTCTGTTCACCAGGCAGCCAACTATTGGGTTAGGGTGGCCTGTCTGGCAACAACCAGAACCCACGGCAGCCATCTTGTGGCTGCACCTACCACACTGTGTCAGAATGCCAAAGGTGCCCGCAGGCTCAAAAGAGTTGGGGACCCACTGTTCTAGACGGCGGGATCGATCCATGAAGACTAAAGGAAACTTCCACATACAAAAGCAGCAGTTGTGTGAGGCAGGAAGCTGGACGAGATGGACCCTCACTGGTCTGATCCAGCAGTGTACTTCTGATGTTCTTACAAAGGCCTCGGCCTCTCTGCCCTGTTGTGGGCCCTCCAGAGGAACGGGTTGGCCACTGTGTGAGACAGGAAGCTGGACTAGATGAACTATTGGTCTGACCCAGCAGGGCTCTTCTGATATTCTTATGAAGGCCTCGGCTTCTCTGCCCTGTTCTTGGCCTTTCAGAGGAAGTGGTTGGCTCCTGTGTGAGGCAGGATGCTGGACTAGATGGACCCTCGCTGGTCTGACCCAGCAGGGCTCTTCTGAAGTTCTTATGAAGGCCTTGGCTTCTCTACCCTGTTATTGGCCTTCCAGAGGAACTGGTTGGCCACTGTGTGAGACAGGATGCTGGACTAGATGGACCCTCACTGGTCTGATCCAGCTGGTGCCTCTTTTGTTCTTAAAATTATGGCAACAATACTTATATCCAGGGGTCATTTGGGGCCGGAGCATGCCGGAGCAGTGCTCCGGCAGCCCAGAAGCAGGCACAAATGGTGGGGGCGGCAAGGCCCACCCTCTTCTCTCTAGAGTCATGTGACTCTAGTGGTGTGACTCCAAAGAGAAGGGGTTTAAATTTAAATTCTCTTTGTTCCCCCCCAGGCTGCCTTGAAAAACTGGCTGGGGAAGGGAAGGGGAGGCTTTTGAAGATGCCTCCCCGCTTTTGCTTCCCCTTGTGACATCACTTCCGGTGATGTAAGGGGGCGTGGCATATGCTAATGAACTATTATGCTAATGAGCTCCTGCCGCTCTTTTTTTTGCTCTTTTTTTTACTAGTCTTTGAGGACTAGTCTCAAGCTCAGTGCTCCTCATGTATAAAAAGTTTTCAGAATGCTTCTTTGTAAATGCTTGGCACCTTGATGCTATACTTTTTAAACTAAGCCCCTTTCCCCCCCCCCCCCATTCCATGTCACTCACCTGCTTTGCTACAGTCCACCGTGAAGGTGTTTTTCTGGCCCACAAAGGCCTTGGTGAGTCCGGGCCCTCTGGCCACCACCTTGCTGGCGTCCGAGGAGAACTTGGGCAGGGCGCTGTAGCTGCTGCCCACGGAAGACGAGGCCTTGGTGACCGTCTCCACTAGCACAGTTGATGTCTCGTGGAGGCTGTGCCCGCCGGACAGGCGAGGACCTGCGGAGAGGGAGGCGAGAACTACGGATCACCATCAGCTCTGGTGGGAAATAGCGGCCAAGAGAGACCTTTTGGGTTCAAGAGGGCTTTTCAAGTTAATTGAGGGACCAGTGAGTCAGTTTCAACCACTCCTGTTCATCCATGTCTGCCAGCTCTGAGATGAGATCTGAGATCTGAAACGTGCCAAGCTGTAGCAGAGAAGTGGGCCTCTGAACCTTGGCCAAGTGATTTACACTCACCCCTGGGAGGGCCGTGGCTCACTGCTTGGCACTCAGAAGGTCCCAGGTTCAATCCTGGCACCTCCAGTTAAAAAAACCAGGTAGGAGGTGATGGGAAAGACCTCTGCTTGAGACCCTGGAGAGCTGTAAAGAGGGGCCGTGGCTCAGGGGAAGAGCCTCTGCTTGGCATGCAGGAGGTCCCTAGTTCAAGCCCCGGCATCTCCAGTTAAAAAGGACCAGCTGGAGGTGATGGGAAAGACCTCTGCCTGAGACCCTGGAGAGCTGTAAAGAGGGGCTGCGGCTCAGGGGTAGAGGATCTGCTTGGCCTGCAGAAGGCCCCAAGTTCAATCCCCGGCATCTGCAGTTAAAAAGGACCAGGCAGGAGGTGATGGGCAAGACCTCAGCCTGAGACCCTGGAGAGCTGTGAAGAGGGGCTGTGGCTCAGTGGAAGAGCATCTGCTTGGCATGCAGGAGGTCCCAGGTTCAGTCCCTGCATCTCCAGTTCGAAAGGACCAGGCAGGAGACGATGGGAAAGACCTCCGCCTGAGACCCTGGAGAGCTGTAAAGAGGGGCTGTGGCTCAGTGGCAGAGCCTCTACTTGGCATGCAGAAGGTCCCAGGCTCAATCCCCGGCATCTCCAGTTAAAAAGGACCAGCTGGAGGTGATGGGAAAGACCTCTGCCTGAGACCCTGGAGAGCTGTAAAGAGGGGCTGTGGCCACGGAAGACGAGGCCTTGGTGACCGTCTCCACTAGCACGGTCGATGTCTCATGAAGGCTGTGCCCACCGGACAGGCGAGGCCCTGCGGAGAGGGAGGCAAGAACGATGGATCACCTTCAGCTCTGGTGGGAAATAGCGGCCAAGAGAGACCTTTGGGGTTCAAGAGGGCTTTTCAAGTTAGTTGAGGGACCAGTGAGTCAGTCTCAACCTGTTCGTCCATGTCTGCCAGCTCTGAGAGCTGGAACGTGCCAAGCTGTAGCAGAGAAGTGGGCCTCTGAACCTTAGCCAAGTGATTTACACTCGCCCCTGGGAGGGCCGTGGCTCACTGCTTGGCACTCAGAAGGTCCCCGGTTCAATCCTGGCACCTCCAGTTAAAAAGACCAGGTAGGAGGTGATGGGAAAGACCTCTGCTTGAGACCCTGGAGAGCTGTAAAGAGGGGCCGTGGCTCAGGGGAAGAGCCTCTGCTTGGCATGCAGGAGGTCCCTGGTTCAGGCCCCGGCAT